GCAGGTTGACCTAAGCAAGAATGTGTACAGAATTTTTAATGAAGTTTGGGTCTTCTATGTTACCTCTGTGTTTATGCCTCCAAGGATGAAACTCACTCGTGTAGAAGTGTGCTGGCATGGAGCTAATGTAGCATTCATATTCCACTTCCATCTCTGCAGAGGGATGGAAATCAAGAGAACTTTAAACTATCAAAATCTAATACTGTTGGGTACAGAGAACAGCTTCACTGAAACCAGAGCGGTAGCAACTTGGATGGTCTTGGGAGATTACTTTACAAAATGCTTAATTTGCAAATACTCTTCAAAAGTGACCAGAGATGTATAGTAATAACAAAAAAAACTCAGGAACACAGCAATGCAATTCCATCAGGGGCTTATATACACAGGAATGTTAGTGTGCAGAATCAAGGGTGTGAATTTGCAGTGCACTGTCTAGTCTTTATACTGAGTCTGTTAATGCCACTTGCCTATGTGAAAGGTAACTTACTCCACTTGGAAAGACAACTAAGGGGTCCACATGCCTGAGACAGCATGGAGTAGTGGACCAGTGTACATTTGCATCCTCACCGACTGCAGGTTAACTTCCCCACGCACACTAGCCCCAAGCCTTGTAAATTTGTGCAGATATCATCTTTTTGCTTTAGCATGCCAAGAGTTGTAGAAAGCGATTGCTGTAATTTGATTCCTGCAGAGATAGCTACATAAGGAAGTCATGTATCTGCACATAATCTGCTTATCTCTTTCCCAGCTGTCTCCTACAGCCACAGTGCTTTTCTTTATCTGTCAGCTGATCTGATTTCCAAGGTTCTTTGTACTATATTACTACACCAAGGAGATTGCCCTTGTAAGTTCTGTGCAAACAGGGAAAGTTCATGGCTTGAGTTCATTTACCTTCTCCATTGCCTTATGCAGGTGAGGTTTCCATCTAGAACATGCAGGGCCCAGTGCAAGACAGAGGCCCTAAATGCTCTGCTCTGATACTGTAGAAGCTAGCCTTGGGCTGATGTCATTAGTTATATTTTGGAGGTCAAACCTGAAGAAGAGAGATGCAACTCCTGATCAATTACTACTTTTAATTAGTCACAAGAGTGCACATACAAAAGACAGGTGAAGACAAAAGCTTAAGTAAGGGCTCACAAATAAGATATAAACTATGTATTATTACTGAAAAGGAACAGATCTTACAATGATATAGTTTAACTGGATAAGCCTAACTGGGTGGATCTACACGAGACATTTACTGGCTAATTAGCTCCACAGTAAAACATCAGTATCTACATGTGCAATACTATTAGGTCGGAGTAAATTAATTTACTCCACTGCAGGCTAGTACTTGTATGTATACAAGTACCTGTATAAACAAGTACTATCCTGTGGTGGAGTAAAGTACTCCGCAACAACACGAGTGTAGATGCTGATGGGGCTGGCTGCCTGCCGGCTAGCCCCGCACCAGAGCACCTTTGTGTCCCAGCCAGCCCCTCCGTATCACATTGAGCTTGGTCAGAGCAGCCCTGGGCTGGCAACCTGACCCCTTGGGCCCCCTGCCAGCTAGGGCTGTTCCAGTCTGGCTCCACATGCTGCGCTGGAATTTATTTCTTTGAATGAATTTCACATGTAGATGCACCCAAGGTGTTTGAATGAAGCTGCAATGGAATGGGACAGCAAAGGCCTACAGCCTTTGACAGATTTACTTAGTACTACACTACTACTGCAGGCAAGGGCAGCTCCTTTAAGAAGTAGGAGTTTCCTAGTTCTCAAATATTGTGCCAGTACAAATAACACAGAAATGTACAATTATGCACATGTCCTTGTGTTTTTTAAGGCTAGTCACAGAATGTGGAGAACACTCATTAAGGAAAGATACATGACTGCCTTCACTTTCTCATACAGAGATACACTTTTTATTACATACAGACAACAGATGGCATGGCTTTTGTAATGTCAGACTTTAGTAGGAGCTAGTCAGCAACTGCACAGCATGGTGCAATTTAAAGCTGAGCTGATATTGGTGGAAGGGAATCCCAAAGCATTTGTTTGAACTTTTTTCCATTTACTTTACTTTGTGTATGCCCCTCTCACATTTATTTCTGAATGTGTTCCATAAAGTTCTTATACTGGCAGAAATACAGACCAAAAACACAGACCAAAAGCAAAGTTTTAAAATGGATATTGTCTACCTAAGAAGTCACATTTCTGTCTAAAAGTTTGATACTTTCCATTGCTATAAATCCATGTAAAGTTACTGTCTCTGAGAGATATCAGGTGTTGAAGTAGGTAATAAAAAAACAAAGCATGACCTTAAGTTTCCAACTAAAAAGACTGAGGCAAAATCCTCTTTTTCAGTGACAATAGTGATCTCATATCATGCTGGTTGGGAACTGTAGACAATTTTCTGGCCAGAAAATACCAATTTGTCAAAAATAAAACTTTCAAGTAAACTTTCAGTCATAATTACTTCAAGAAAAATGAGGTTGGGTGGGGGGGAGGCAGAAGACAGAGAAAGAAGGTGAAAGAGAATCTCTTGGAAGGATGGACACATACCTGGGAGACCCAGTTCTACTTCCTGCTCTTCCAGATTCAGAATTGCCTCATCCCACAAGACTTCCCCAGCCACCCAATTATTGGTTATGCTGTGGTCTCCTTTTCCCCAGCCATGAAAAATGTTGAAAGGTGTTCATGCTGACCCAGTGCACAACGGAAAACATATTTTGAAAGCTCTAAGGAACTGTTTCTCACTGTGAATGATGAAGAAAGAGAAGGCACATTCCCATGACTGAAAAGGATTATGTGCATCCCTGGCTAGCGGGTACTGCAGATTGCAACATGTACTCTAATATTCTGGGAGCTGACTATACCCTGTGGGTAGAATATTCTCTTTACAGCAGCATTATCCTGGATGAAATGCTGGCCAATCCCTTTTCTTTGCCCATAGGAGATAAATCTTCCCAGCTGTGAGATAAGCTCTTTCAGGACTGAATTCTTAGAATGTCCCAACAGAGTCTACAGGACTAAGATTCAATAATAATTTGTTTACTTTATAGTTAAGGGTTGTGGGGGTTTGGCTTTGCTATTTGTCTGTTTAACACACCATCACTTAAAGAAATTAAGTCCAGTGTCTGTAACTCTCAATCCCCACCTCTACCCAGTAGTCAGGTCAGTTCCGAGGTCACTGAGACCATTGGGACACCTTAGATGCTGTAACAACACTCTTCCACTCTGCCCTGTGTTCGGCTAGCTTTGCGCACACTGTCAGCTGAAGCTCCTTCCAGTCCTTAATATTGGTTCCCCAGCTCGTCTTGGGCCTACTTCTTTTTCTCTTTCTCTCCACTGCACCCTGCATTATGGCGTTGGCAAGGGCGCCCAGTCTTCTAATGATGCGTCTAAACCATTGCAGCTTCCTTTGTCGCACAACCTCCAACAAGGGTATGTAGGTTTAGAGGCCTGGGTCTACCAAATAGACAGTTCCTTAAATGCATTTTTACCTGCAATCAAGCAGTATTTCCATGTATACATGGGTGTAGGTGTTCAATCTTAGAGACTTTTTTTCTTTTAAATTATGTAGGATTGTAATACTAAAAGATTTGGAGTATAATGAGATTTTCTCTCAGTAGGTACTGGAAGGGAGTTTAGGTCTTTGTTTTTCTCTCCTAGTGAGTGTGGATTATCTATTAATTAAAATTAAATAATTGCATCCAGCATAATTTGTTTCCTGTGATTACTCAGCATGGGGCATTGATGGACTTGGATGAAACTTTGTTTCTTATATCTCTTAATGAACCCACTTAGTTACACTTTTTCTCTGACCTGTGAACTAAGCAGATACAGTCTTACACTAGCACATGGGATTAATTTTTTCTATTTAAGAAATACAGAGAAATAAAGTCTCCCTTACATCTGATAGCAATATTTTGATCATCTTGCTACAAAATCCCTCATGCTGAGTACATGCAGTTTATTTACTGCTTGCTTGCTGTATTTTTCTTTAAATGTTACCGTAAACACACAGACCTTTTAAATTAGGTTTGGTCTCACGTGATTTATTTGGAGACTGCTCCCACTGAACAACTAACAATTTGGTGTGGAAGACAAACTGCTGGGCCAGATCCTCGGGTGCTGCAGCCATGTTGATTTACATTAGCTGCTATGTCTGTAGGACAATTTACTTCTAAAACAGAGACACCTTTTCTATGCACTCTAAACTAGCGATTCTCAACCTTTTTTCTACTAGGACCCATTTATAAACATCAATGTCCAATCTCGACCCAGTGCCCTTCACTCCCCACCTGCTGTCCCCCGCCCCCAGCTCCTCAGTGTGCGGGGTGGAGGGGGTGTGGGGCAGGGGGGACCCCAAGCAGCCCCTTGCAGGCTGGAACTCTGCCAACTTGCAAGGGAAAAACCAGTTTCCCACATTTTTCTCCTTTAATGGAGAATCCGTTTTTTAAGTTTGTTGATCCATTTTTTTAAATGTATTCACTACCCTTTCATATATTCTTGCAACCCACTTCTGGGTTGTGGCCCAAAGTGAATGGTTTCTCTTTTCCAGGACAGATGTACATTTTGTGGTGTTTATGACTATTTGCTAACCATAATATGAAACATTATTTACCTCTGGGATGAAATAGGATAACATATGAAAATAGTGCTTTACACTGATCCACTGTGTTTTATCTGGGAGATCCTCAACACTTTAGATTTTTTATCCCTATTTATAAAAGAAGAAAAACCCAGTGAGTCTCACAAGATCATGGCAGAGCCACACATAAGACATCTATGTGTCCTAATGCCCAATCCCATGTTTTCATCAATATTTCACATCCTTGCAAGCATGCATGAAGAAGGGCATGGGTACAAGCCTACTTATATCAGGCCAGAGCTTTGGATCTTTTCCGTATCTTCTTCCTTACAGAGAAATGTTACTAATATATCATCACATCTATGAAATAACTCTTATCCTTTAAAATAACTAATTAACTAATTTTTTTTTTAATTTTAATACCCAGGACCCATCTTGCACTCCTTGAAGTACTTTTCAATTATGCTATAAAACAAGGACAAGGAGTCATCATGGAATTATACCAAGCACTTCAGTGAGGGTCAACAACACCTATGTTAGTGACTCATGTACGTGGATCATAAAAGAAAGTTTCACAGGGGCGTGGTGATGGTGGAATGATCAGGAGGAGGGATGAACAGCTTGGGAGGTTTATAAAACCAATGGCTTTGATCCTGTTTCCATCCATCTGACCTTCATCCCAGTAGCTGCTCCTTTGAATCGTTTAGCTCTCAAAAGGCAACATGGCTTTCACAGGCAAATATGAAGTGGAAAGTGAAGAGAATTATGATGACTTTATGAAGCGCATTGGTGAGTATATTCTGGAGATTTTTTTTAATGAGTCTTCATGAGTTAGATTAATGATAAAAGGGTCAGAGGCTTCTTCCTACAAAGTGCTCAGGTCAATGGAAATTGCTCAGTAGTTGTAATAATCAGCTCTTCATGGATCAGCCTCTCCTTAGCAGATGAGTTATACTTCCTGGAAAACCACATACAAGAAAATGATTCCAGTTCAGAATAATGTTGTGTTTACAGCATTATTCACCTTTGTTCACTTCTGCTCCCACATTAGGTAACATTCCTTCCAGCTGCAGCAGAATAAGGCCCCAATACATTTGTGATACAATATATTATGGGATCAGATTTTCAATTTTTGGTTAGTTCCTGCGTAAGTACAACAGTGTACATATCCAAACTTAGGACTGCCTCCTACAGCATCAGACTTTTATAGGCATAGGAGAGCTGTAGCACTTCTAAGAGGAGGAGGCCTGGGCAAGCATTATAGAACTTGAACCCACAAAGGTCATTAGGATGATTTCTGTGCTCGTGTTCATCCCTCTAAATGGCATCTGGAAATAGGAATTAAAGTTATTTGGATTTACACAGCACAGAAGCCTATACTTGTATATACGTAATTTAATGTAACTACATGCTGTCTGAGCAGGAAAAAAAAGCTGAGTGTTTTCCTTAGACATGGGCACTTTCCAAGGAAACAATGAGAGCTCTTGAACTGTATCAACTGTAGCTATAGCAATGTCATCTCCGGACTTCCAGGTGATCAATATTTTGATCTCTGAACTTTGACACCATTGCAAAAAAGTTTTGGTTTATGCCCTCTGACATCAGTATTTCAGAGTTAGCATATGCACACAAGCAATGTACACCATTGCTTTGCTTAAATTTGAAAATAAATGTTTCTTAGACTATTAGCTTAAAAAGATGTATAAGTTTTTATTGCCTAAGGTCTCCCCAGTGATGTCATTGAAAAGGGAAGAAATTTCAAGATAGTCACTGAAGTGGTACAGAATGGAGAAGAATTCATTTGGTCTCAACATTATCCAGGAGGCCAGTCCATGACCAACAAATTCACCATTGGCAAAGAAGCAGAAATGGAGACAATGAGCGGTAAAAAGTTCAAGGTAAATAGCTGTAGTCCTTTGGTTTAACAGTTTCATCAGTAATCTAGCTTCTTGTTTCATTTAGAGTTTGGATACAGACATCGCATCTAGTTATCAAGGATATGCATCTAGTTGGGGTCATCTAGACCCAGCCCTCTTTCCTGCCTATGCAGGGGGTTGGACTCGATGATCTATTGAGGTCCCTTCCGACCCTAACATCTATGAATCTATGAATCGCTTTTCAACTTTTCAGACTAACGGTCTATTGCTGCAGTCAGTCTGCAACCTTTAAAGGCTGCAGGCTGGATTAACCATGTGTGTCAAAGGCAGGCAGGCAGGAGCACAGGGAGAACACCTACTACCAGTGTTTTCCCCTGCAGTCGCACGGGGAAAGAACCTACAGCTGAAATCCCCACTGCTGAATACTGCTAAAGCTCCATGTTTTCAGGCAGGATCAAATGGCTCTGTGGGCCAGATCTAGCCTGTAAGCTGTAGGTTGCCAAAGCCTGGTCTATTGATGTGGTGTCCTGTCTCAGGGATTTTTCTTCAGATTCTCTTCCTGTGAAACATGACATTTTTCTTAGCCTGACCTGTATTTTGCAGCAGTGTCCGTCAGTTTTGAAGAGTTTGTCCATTGCCCTTTTAGCTAGGACTTCACCATTGTCTTGTTGTAGTTACAAGAAATTAAGGGCAGAATGACAGTCTTAGGAAAAGCATCAGGTTGTGTTGCAATTCAGGCACACACAATATCAATCAAAACCCCAGAGCACTGCAACTGCTGCCCTTTGTGCCTGGGTCCATCCAGTGAGTAGAGCAGAAACCAAGAAAAGCCATATTCCTGCCTCCTTTTCACGACCTCAAGCTGACAACAATACTAGCCCAATGAAGTCCATCTCAATACAAGGACTCCCACTTTCTGGGCCTTGAGCAAAAATGGCTGTACGTATACAGGGAGAAAGAGAAACATCTTGTGCCCACTTTCTCCTTTGTAAGCTTATGCAAGGTCCAGGCATAGTCTGGCACTCCCTGTTCCAATTTCTTGTACAGTTAGATTTTTACTGAAAAATTTTGGTCCCTCTTAGCAAAGATTACAAACCAATTTTTGAAAGGCATTAGGTCATTAAGCCACTAAGAAAGGGTCTGTTTCCTAGGCTTTGACCAGAAACCTACTTTTAATTACTACTTTTAGCTATAAACATTCTATATGACCTGCTGCTAGTGACTAGCTCCACTCCTCCCCCATGGCTGGAAAATGGAGATTATATTTCTGTGCCTGACAGAGGTTTGAAAGATGCCCACATACTACATGCAAGTAGAAAGAAGTTCTACTATAATGTATAATACAAGGAAACCTCCCATCATGTTAGGAAAGCTGTTTCGTTTATCACAACATCCCAGCCTCTATTTTGAATCCAGTTGTCCAAAACCCAAAAAAACAAACCTCGCCACAACAGCGATTCTGGGTTTGGAAATCCTTTGTACAATCCAACCTATCAGTGAATTCAAAGATAATTGTATAAGCCAGCTATATTTTTTTTGATGAAATATTTCATGCCCCATCTAGCTCTGTTTGCAAGAGGTACTTTCCCAAGCCAAGCGACTCTAAACCAGCCAAAACTTGAGCAAAGCAAATGCTAAGACAGAAAATGACAGTTGTTGTCTCTTGGGAAATGCTGCCATTCAGTATGACACAAAATGTAAAGTCCTCAGGTGGTTTACTCATTTCTGGCAAAGATATCAGCTTCTTCTTTTTCTAAACATGACCAGCTGGTCTTATCTCACTTTGCTGAATGGACAAGTCTGCCTAACATACTACAGGCATGTCTGGTATGCGCTATAGTCAAAGAGGTGACTGCTGCTCACATGGATATACCCAAGCTAACTCTCTCAGGTACTGACATCAGTTTAGCCATAGTAGCACAGAACTTAGCATAGACTACAGAGCCTAAGCCAATAGTCAGGCAGCTAGCCAGCCTGAAAATCTGGGTTACTACAGCTACCCTGTTCCTAGCACTCAAGCAGCTGCCATGTTAACATGAATCTAAGATGACCCTCAATTTAAGAAGACCCCACAATAATTGGATTCTATACATGGAAGATGTATACTTTTATTATTTTTCATGTATAAAATCTAATTATTGGATGGTAGTCTTTAATTCAGCCTTCCTACTGCTGCAGGGGGGGCAGGAAATGGGAAGGTTGGTGGTATGGGGAAGTCAAACAGCTTTCCCCCTGTTTGAGCCTGCCTTTCCCCCCGCCCCCTCGGGTTCTCCCTTCTCCTCAGTCTCTGCTCTGTGCTGGCAGGCTCTGTCCCCTTCTAGCATGGAGCACGGCCCAGCCCAGCCCCTATGGCAGCCATGCAGGCTGTGGGCTACTGCTGCAGAGCCAGACTGGGGCTGTGCTTCATGCCCCAGGCTGCAATGTGCACAGAGCCAGCCTGCCAGCACTGAACAAAGGGGAGGGAGAGGGGCAAGCAGGGGAGGAGAAGCTATGTGGGGCAGGGCACTGTGGGATCAGGAAGGAGATGGGAAGAAGGGGCTGATAGTAGAGTGCAAAGGTGGCAGGCCAGGTAGGGGCTGGAGCCCAAACCTCAGCAGACGCTTGCCCTCTTTCACTGTCATAAGTGACTCTAAGACAAAGGGCTCCCCGCTATTAAATGGGGAGAAAAACCTCATCTTAGAATCAAGTAAATACAGTAGCTTAATGCTAGATCAGATCGGTCTCTTCAAGCTGTAGTCACACTATTTAGTACAGCATAGATGTATCATAGAATCATAGGAAATTGGGGTGGAAGGGACCTCAGGAGGTCATCTAGTCCAACCCCCTGCTCAGAGCAGGACCAGCCCCAACTACATCATTCCAGCAGAAGCTTTGTCAAGTGGGGCCTTAAAAACCTACAAGGATGGAGCTTCCACCATATTTCTAGGTAGCCTGTTCCAGTGGTTCACCACCCTCCTAACGAGAAAGTTTTTCCTAATATCCTAGCAAGAGTTTTTTCTACTATCCAACCTAAACTTTCCTTCTGCAACTTGAGACCATTGCTCCTTGTACTATCATCTGTCACCACTGAAAACAGTCTTGCTCCATCCTCTTTGGAACCACCTTGCAGGTAGCTAAAGACTGCTATCAAATCTCCCCTCAGTCTTTTCTTCTCTTTTGCATACTAAATAAGCCCATTTCCCTTAGCCTCTCCTCATAATTCATGTGCCCCAGCCCCTTAACCATTTCCATTAAATCCTGGACTCTCTCCAACTTGTCCACATCCTTTCTGCAGTTGAGATGTGGCCTCACCAATGAAGAAGAGAGAAATAATCACTTCCCTTGATCTGCTGGCAATGTTCCTACCAGTGCAGCCCAGTATGCTGCTAGCCGTCTTGGCAAGAAAGGCACACAAGCTGAATATAAGTCAGTAGTCTACTGTAACCCCCTTTTTTGCAGAGCTGCTGCCCAGCCAGTCTTCATTTTGTCTAGTTCACTCTGGATTCTAGCTTTACCCTCCAGCATTATCTACTGCTCTCCGCAGCTTGGTGTTATCTGCAAACTTGCTGGGGGTGCAATCCATTTAATCTTCCAGATTGTTAATGAAGACATTGAACAAAACCTGCCCCAGGATCAACCCCTGGGGCACTCCACTGACTACTGGCTGCTAACTAGACATCGAGTCATTGATTACTATCTGTTGAGCCCAAATCCAGCCAATTTTCTATCCGCTTTACAGTTCCTTCTTCTAAGCCATAGCTTGCTTGCAAGAATGCTGTGGGAAATCATATCGAAAGCCTTGCTGAAGTCGCTTTTCAGCCTAGCCATTTTTAGATATATAAATTAATATTATTTCTCTTTCAGTGGCTGACCCACAGAGAAGATAGGAAACTTGCTACTACTATTAGCTAAATTTTATCTTAATTGGTCCAATCCAAGAGCTAAAGCAATAGGTTTCTGATAGTGTTCACATACCAGATTACACACAACAGCTGTATCTGTAGCATATGGATTTATTAGTATCTTGTCTAAAGACTGTTTCAATTATATTGTGTATGATAAATAGCTATCGTTACCTCTGTTCATGGGGCTGTCCTTGCACACACTTGCAGGCAACAGTTAAAATGGAAAATGGCAAAGTGGTGGCAGATTTCCCCAACTATCACCATACTGCAGAGATAGCTGGAGGAAAGCTACTTGAGGTAAGTTGCTAAACATCTTCTTGATAAGCTCAAAGAAACTTCATAAGGGACAAAGCCTAAGGACTGAAGGAAATGTTTTTGTTAATTTTTAATTTAAGAAAACCTCTTAACAGAAAGCAGATTTTTTAAACAGCTCTTTCCTGCAGTTTTGGCAGCATAAATGTTGCATTGAGGTTGTAAGGAGTATAATTCTATTGTTCCACCTAAAATTCAAAAAGTAAATTAACTTTTTAATGGGCAATATGTAAAATGTCAGTAAAGGTACTTGTAGCCATGTAAAATACAAAATATAAATCTAGCTGGCCAGTGTTCCCAAGTTGTGCAGTCTTCCTTGATTTACTTTTATGGACGGTGTGCATTGAATTGAATGATGTTAGAGTGCCACCTTGACAACTCAGGCTGCCCACTCCTATTCTGTGTACACCAAATGCCAAACCACTGTTAAGGTAACCACCATTAAAGCAGCACTAGCTGCATACCCAAAATTTGCTACATTACAGTTTTTCAGCATTCAGTATGCATAAAGGAGCACACATGAAAAAAATACAAGAACGGAACTGCCATTTACTGGATCAGACTATAGGGTCAGTATCCTGTCACACCGTGGCAGAGAGTGAATGCTGAAAAGAGCATGAACTGGGTACAACCAGGATTTTCCCCTATTCCTCTTCTACCTGCAGCCTCCAGCCTGAACAGTGGGAAGTGTTTTTATGCCAGTGCTTTCTAGTATGAAGTGTCACATTGTAGACATGGTCTTATTGAACTGCATGCATTCAGGTACAAGTTAGATACTCTTCAAGAGTTGAAATAAAAAAAAGCCCCTATGATGGAGACTTTGAAAAATGTTTAAATTATCATTTGCCCAACTATGTTTAAGGCTATAATAATTCTCAATTAACTTCAGTGGAAACAGTTCATGTAATTAAAGTTAAGGGTATTCTTAGCCACTTTGCTGAACTGGAGTCATAATCACTCCTTGGGAGTACTGCCACACATCATAGAAATTGATAGCTTGAAGCAGCAGTTATCAAAAATGTCTTTGCACAGTGTATTTTAGACTAGAGCATTTTGGAGTGAAGCATTTTAGTCTATTGGACCTTTCATGAAAAGATCACATTTTGCAGCAAAATGGAGGCTAACAAATGTTTTAATCACAGTAAACTTCAAGTTACTGTATTTAACCACATTTTTTGCTTGTTCTTTATTTCAGATTTCTGTTGCTGCTGGTGTAACCTACAAAAGAATCAGCAAAAAGATAGCTTAATACAGAAGAGCCAGTCTTCCAGTGCACTGAGAATTGAGCAACAGAATAATCAATAAAGCATGTTTTAGGAACTCTGTCTTTATGTTTGTATTACAGACATGAGGGATTGATTTTGCTTCATAAGCGGTAGTTTTGAAAGTTCAGTTGTTTCCATGTTAATGTTTCATCTTCCACATACTAGCCAGAAGAGTCCTGTATACAGTCTTTACCAAGTGAACAAGACTTGCAGGGGAGGGAAAAAAACAACAAACCTATCTCACACTTAGTGACTGGTTGCAGGCTAATCCTTTCAGGAAGCATCTCATGCACAGCAGATACAAGTGATGCCTTCAACCATTTAGTTAGCTTTATCTGTCCCTCGCCTGCTTTTCCCTCCTCCCCGCCACCCCCAATAATGAGTGAAAGGCACTGTCCTGCTCAAGGCAGGAACAACGGCAAAACAAACCCTTAAGCTTTGCTTTGGTTCTGGCCGCAAAGCAACAGTTTAGGATTCCTGCATCAAGAGTAAGCTAATTTATTCATAGTTTTCAATGCTCTCTGTACTAAAAGGGCACTTTTATTATGTGCTATGATAACAGTGAGTCTCATAACATTGTTGCTGTGACTATTCTTATCCCTTTTGACCCAAGCAGCTAATCAATATCTGGGGGTCGGGTGGGAGGTCTTGTAAATTGTTCTCTTGTTGACAGAAGGAGAAATTGGTGGGTTCAGGTATTTTGATGCTATCCTGTTTATTTACAAAGTCCCCTACCTCCCCCCTTCTGTACATGCAGTCAGAAAATGTCTCTTCACACCCAGCATTCAATTTCTAACTTGGTTTGGTATGTAACTTAATAGGAACTAATCAAGGCACATACTGCTTCAGCGTGCTCCAAAAATGGTGGCTTCACCATTTCTTATTTTTATTCTAAACAAGAGTAAAACCACCAGCTGTAATGGAGGTTTTACACAAAGGCCATCACAACAACACAACCTTCAAAAGAGCCTTAGGTTTGTGTGGCACAAGTTGCATCTGGCTTAAAAAAAAGTGATCCACAAACATAGTACTGTATATCTTAGACTTAGAAACATACCATGGGAATACAGCTGCAGATAAACAGAAGTTACAGATAGTAGGGCTGTGCAAAGCTTCGGTAGCTGATTTAATTCAGAAGAGATTCGGCCTGATTCGGCGACCGAATCTCTGAATCTGAATCTAATCAGGAGACCAATTAAAACCTCTGAATTGAATCGTTAGACTCCAAATCGATTTGGAAAAGATTTGGCTGATTCAGAGATTCGGCCATAGACTAAACAACAGCAGTCCTCACCACGCTGGACACAGCTGCCTCCAGCTGGTAAGTCTGTTGTGGGCGGAGGGGGGTGGGAAGGGGTGTGGGGGAGGGAAGGATTGGGTTGAGACTAGGACAAGCTGCCCAGCCATGGTGGGGGGCACAGGACTCGGGAGGGGGGTGGGGATACGAGTGCGGTAGAGCTCAGTGGGGGCTATGCCCTGCTGTTGCTCGGAAGGGGATGCACATGCGGCTTGCTCCAGGCAGAAGGGGACAAGTGGCAGCGTGCCCACATCCTGCCCCTCACCCCAGCTGGGCAAGCAGCAGGGCAGAGCCCCCACTCCCAGTGCTGCTGCACCCGGATCAGCTCAGCACTGTCAGTGGGTGGGGGCTCTGCCCTGCCACTTGCCCAGCCAGCACGAGAGGGCACTCGCTGCTGCTTGCCCAGCCGGTGCGGGGGGGGGAGAAGGGGCACACGCTGCTGCCACGGCACCACTAGAAGCAGGGGCTATGCTCTGATGCCGCTTGCCCCCTTCCGCCCAGAGCGAACCATACCCATATCTCCAAATCCAATCACTGTCCCTCCAAATCGTCTGCTTCACACAGGCCTAATAGATAGGTATTCGTAGGATCAACATGCTATCAGATTTTCATGAAAAGTTCAAATGAGGGGGCCAAATTAGCACCACACGGTTGTCAGTCAGGTCCAATTAAGTCAACACTGTTTTTTGTGAAGGATATGTAAATGAGGATAGAGAAACTCATCTCAGTGACAACGTATCATCTTTTCTCAAAATACTATGCCCTGATACACAGAACCTGTTAAAAAAATATACCCCAAATATTTTTGATCCTGTTTAAAATAACTTGGAAAAATTTGGATTATGGTCAAGAAACAAGCTATAATTCCACTCAACACAGCACATCTTTGGAATGACAATGGTACCATGGGAAATATAAATTGAGCAGGAAATGTATAATTTACAACCATGGCAAAGGAAAGAAAAACACACCAAAAAACAGGAATTTTATTTTGTTTCTGCACCGTGTTTAAACAGGACATCCAACTGAACAGATAACCTCTGTATTTACTAGCTCCATTAAATGATCTTTTCACCTTTTAATGTTCAAGTTTTATTAGTATTGTGAAAGTTCGAACTATTGAAAAAACATTAATGTGATGTTTTCAGGAAAGGACTGGAAAAAGTCATGCAGACCACAGATCAAAGTGTGTAGAGGGGAAAAACTAACCAGGAAACGATGCTTTGCCAGGATGACACCTCAGTTCTGAATACCGCCCATTTTTCCAAATACCTGTTGCTCCATGCTAATAGCTGTAGGATTCAGATTTTGGCTGCATTCTGAAAGCTAAAATGTAATTCACTCAAACTGAACTCAAGTACTGAGAATTTCAAAGCTCACTCAAAGTTTAAATGACTCGTTCTAGCCCTGACAGAGGACTATAGTGCTCAGCAGGTGCTCGATACAGATGTGGTTCCCGAAGGCTGGTTAATATCCATCCCCATTTTACAGATGAGGAAGCTGAAACATGAAGTACAGCGATGCTTACCCACAGTCACGTAGCTGCCACTTCAGGCTCCATTCTTAATTCTGATCCCAGACAACTAGCAAATTCCCTTATGCCCGTAAGGAATTTGGCAAACCCAGAATGTTTTCATTTCAAGAGTTCCTGCCATGCTCAAGCGATTGCTTAAAACAGTTGGTAGAGCAACTGCAAGTAAACTGTGCGTATGTGTAGAACAGCAGTTAACACAGCATGAAGAATATTAAAAATGGTTTCAATTTATTTATGCAATTTATATGATGACCTTTCCAACAAAGGCTCAAAGACAGGTAAAATAGCTAGGACAGCAGGATTAGCCATTTCCTGCTTACTGTATTATTCTGATACAGTATAGGGCAGCCTCACATAAATTGGCTGATTTTTATGGATCTTTTTAAGAGTGGGGAAATAGTCTAACTGTAATCAGAACAACACAGTGTTTCTCAAAGAAAGCCTCATGTTTGTAAGACTTTCCAAGAGAGTCTCATGTTTGTAAGATGGGCACTATTAACAATACCATGCTCCTCTCCAACACCTATACTGAATACTACTGCAGTGGTAGTGCTACGCAGCAGGTCATGCTGCATTGCCTGTACCCACCCAGTAAGCTTTTGCTTCAGAGAAGTCAAAAGCACCTGCATCATGCTTCAGTCTGAGCTAAGGATAGGCATACCCATAAAACTTCATTTCAATCCAACACCAACAATAATTTTAGTGATGTTGACCTTGGTTTCTGCTTCTGTAAGATGGGGCTAACTACTCATTTATACACCTCAAAAGGTGCTCCATTATAAAGACAACACTGTAGCAGAGAAAGTGGAACAGGGACAACAGCAAATGGTTGTTGAAAGGATAGAGCAATTACCATGTTCTCTTTTCCAGCATTACAATACATTTGCAGGAAGCCATATGCTGGTGCTGTGCTCCAAGTCACATGTGTAGGTTGTGTTGCTAAGCAATGCGTGTGTGCATTGTGGCAGGTGTGTAACTTCAGTTCTCTTGTTCCATCTGGAGGCAGATAGTCATATGGATAAATGCAGTTGAGCTAAGTAAGTACAGATGTTGGTTCTCTGTTGTGTACTTGCACCACTTTTTCCATTCCCAGTTCCTCATCCCATAACTAGATTTGACACTACCGTGGAGCAAGGACTGTGACGAGATCCTCAGAGGCTGTGGGCCTACATGAAATCTCAAAGGCCCTGACCTTCTGTTTTGCTCTTCCTACTTCCTCTGTTCTCTTACTTTTACCTGCAGAGCGATAGCAGGAGTTGTATGTTTTTCTGAACAGGGAGAAAAAGTACATTTCACTCCAGGTCCCTGGGTTTCAGTTTCTGTGGAGAAGTCACCAGAGGCTACAGAGCCGCAGAGCAGGGTTGGAACGTTTTTGGGCAGAGTGCCAAAAAACACCCACAACCTCAACTTCTAAGATGTTGGTGTGCCAGGAACAGATGAAGAGGGAGCCCTGAGGGGCCCGATCCTTGTTGTGGCAGCGCAGCCCCAGCCCCTTCCCCCCCATCTGCATGCCAAGCAAAATGCCTTAGAGTGCCACTCTCTGGCACCTGTGCCAGCGGTTGCCTACGCGTCATAGAAATAGGTATGCCTCAGTTTGGGCCAAAGTTATATGAAAGGCTTGGGGCGGGGTAGGGAAATTGTGAAGAAGTTTGGCCAGATCCAAACTAGAAAAGACTGTCTAGTGTCCCAGCAAATTCTTGTACTACAAGCGCACTTATATCATTATATTTATATTTCCAGTAGTTTCCCAGCAGAATAAGCTGCACCCACAAAAGCACTACTAGTTTGCTATGTAAATGCGTCTTGGCCAGGGCTGTTATAAAAATGGCACAAAAACCCACACCTTAAACCAACATTACTACTCTGACAAAGCTTCTTGCCTCAGCCTAATTACCATGACATCATAGCCTGGAGAATGGTTTCATTTCACCCATTGCCAACATATTTATCCTGGGCAGAAATGCCTAGGAATCAATGCATATCCACCTAAATGAAAACTAGTTTTCAGAGCTGCAGGTAACCAGAGTACATGTCCCCCTAAAGGGTATGGATCAAAACTGCCTGTGTTGATGGACCTACTTGTTCTATCTGCAAAGCAGTTTAATTTGCCATTGGCATTAGGCACATCTCTGAGGATTTATTGCAGTGTATTCACTCTCTTACTCTGTTGGCACTAAACACCTGCTGTGGCCATCACAGTAATTCCATGCTCTTACCCAGCCTC